CCACCAAGACGCGGCGTTACCACCTCAAAGTCGCGTCGCACTCGGAGGAGTGGGAGATTGATCTGGACTATGGAGATCTGTTGACTCGACAGGGCGATGAGGCGTGCGATGAAGCGCGCAAGGAGCTTGCGTTTGCAGTGGAGAAAGAGGAGCTTCTACTGCTTAAGATGCGAGAGACGTACGTGGGTCCGCTCGCTGTAAAGCTGCTGACGTTGCGTGCGTTTGAAAGTGGATTAAGTGTCCAGTCCTTGCGCGGCATGAAGATGCCGGCAACTTTACAGAAACGACTCGCAGAGATCCACACTGCCGACGCTGCTGCCAAGAAAACAGCCCATCTAATTGTGAGGGGAAAAAAAAGTGTGTCCCACTCTCAAAACAACCTTCGTTTATTTAGAGGATACTTTAAAAAGGAAACACGCGGCTCCGAAACGAGAACTTTCCCTTAAAGAAGAGCGCCAGTAAGCTCATGAGTCATTACGCATTCTGCTGTCGTGGGAATGCGCAGCATCAAGCGGTCCGACAGCAGTACAGGAGACTAGTGGGTCAAAGTCCGTTCACGGCTTCGAGGCGCGCAAACGACTGCGCACGGAGCGAAAGGAGAGACTGGCACGTTGGCAGAGCAACAAACCAGGCGAAGATGCCGACGATCCCAGAGACGTGGTCGCGATCGCCTTTGCTCAACGCAACATGGGCGATTACAAGCTGAAAACGGCTCCAGACTACGTGGTTCCAGAACATCAGCGTGTCAACGCAGCGAAGAAATTGAGGCAGATGGCGCTCTTGGAGGAGAGTCTGTATGCCGCACGCTTGCGATTCAACGCCAAAGTGCTGGAGCTTCGCGAGTTGAAGGTGCAGCTGATCAACGAGCTGCATCGCGACCAGGAACGACTAGTCGAGCTTCGAGCCGCATTAGCGTCCAGCGGCGCAACACCATCCAGCGTGTCGTCCAAAGATCTAGTTGTGGACCTTCGCGAGTGGCCGGAGCAGCGGGAGCGCGTAAGCGACGCCGACATTGAGCTCTTCCTTCGAGAGCAGAAGGTGATATCACACGTGCAGACTCAGACTGGCGAAGCGGACTTGGCATTGACGCGCATCGGTGGGGCTGAGAAGCGTCTGCAATCAGCAGATCGATCCATCGCTGCCGTCGCACGAGCTCTGGAAGGAACGTCGGGAAAGGAGGCTGCAAAGGGCGTCACCATTGGCCATTTACATCTGCAGATGGACGACAGTACGGCAGCTGCTGCGACGGCTTCGTCTGCACACGCGGGCGCTTTAAATGTAGAAAACATGGACGAGGATGACGTGGTTGTCCATGAATACTTGATGCGCCAAGAAGCGCTACTGCTCGAGCGCAAGCAGCAACGCGAGATAGCGTCGTTTGACGCTGCTGTGGCTCACCTCCGTCGCGAGAAACTCGCTCTCGAGGTCGGCTTCAAGCAAGCGGAACTTCGGCTGTTCACTCTCCTTAGCGAGTTGTCGCTGCTTGAGTCGTTCGAGAGCAAGGAAAACCTGTTGAGCAGTAAACTCGAGAAGAGTAAAGGGGAAAAGGCGCAGATTGTGGCGGACCTGCGCGATGTCCAAGACCTGCTGACGATCAAGAAACGCGATCTGGATGAATGGGCGCGACAGGAGAAGGCTGTGCAAGCAGAGTTCCTGACGCTTGTGAACGGCGGCACGGGGTCAAGTGCGACACCTCACCCGAGCTTTGCGGCGCTGCAGAAGCTGTTTAAGCGCAAGATCAAGCGAGCTAAGAAGAAACCCGCTTCAGGTGGCAAGGAAGAAGGGAAAGAGCCTGACAGTGCGAGAGACGGCGAGTACCTAAAATTTGTTACAATTTAAAATTTAGAAAAAAAAAAATAATTTTTGATAATAAAAAAAAAAATCAAATTAATTTTGAAAAAAATAATATTATTTTTTTTTTTAATAATTCTTATAAAATATTTTGTTCTAATTTTGAATTATTTTTTAATAAAAAATTATCAATTTATAAAAAAAATCAAGAAATTAAAATATATAAAACTCCGATTTTTAATACTTTATTAAAACAAAAAATTAATAGTTTTTTAAATCATTTTCTTAAAATAACATGGTATACAAAAAGTGCGTTCTTGAGCCTGTAGCAAACGATTTGCATCCATGACATCCCAAAAACTTAAAATAACATATCTCGACTCCTAGAATGAAATCGACGTGAATCCTTAGGGCAGTTAGTGTGTTTTAGTATCATACTTAACACCACAAAGTTTTACGGGGCACTCTACAATACTCTTCCCAAGACGCAAGAAAATGTTCATTTTGGGGGGTCCTCTAACGCGAACTTAATGATAAAATACCGCACTTAGTCCATAAAATACGAACTTAGGCACTATTCGCACTTAGTAAAATAACTTCTCGCACTTAGAACGGGTAATTTATGTAAATTACTTTATGGGTGACTGCTGAGTTCTAACAAAACTGAAAGATACTGACTAGCTGCTGGCGCGGCGGTTACTTTTCCAGCTATAAATAGATGTTAAACGAGTAGTCTGTAACTGTCAGCAGTAATCAATTCCCGTCAATCTGCTGTAGATTAACGGGAATTTTTGTTAAGACGACGTAAACAAAAAGCGAGTATCTTTCTTGTGACGGCTTCCTAGTATATGTGAGGTGACAAGTCGGTTACTGAGTGTAATTTTGGAAATGGCGTGTGGGTTTCTAAGATTATAGTTGG